CTCATTTGGAAGCAAATGTACACAAAGTGGAGCAAAGGCAGTGCAAGAATAACATTTGAGGTAAACAAAATCACTTATTACATTTTATTTTGACGAGTATTTACTCTCCAATTACTTTTTTTTTTTTAAATTTTACCCGTTGCCCCCGGGCCGGCCCGGGACTCCCGCGCGGCCACGTTCGAACCCGTTCTGTAACCCGATACCTCCCTAGTAATGCGACTTTTAGCCTAGCAACCGACCACCGTGTCAGAAACTCTACAAAACGGGCTCTCCCTATCACACGTACAACAAGATGTTACAACAGCCCTTTACCGTCCCTCTTAAGACTGTCGAACGAATCGAAATGATGTTACTCTTGAACTTGTAAATGTCTCTAATATATTTTGTGAAACTTGTAGATGGAATGTAAATGTAATTTTGATATTTAAGATGCAAATGTGAGCAAAATTTGAATCTCGTTATGCTAAATGTGTTTAATATGTTGACTGTGCAGTCGTTAATGTTTTTAAAAGAAATGATGTACATCTCTGAACGCAATTCAGCTTCTGCTGCAATGTTCGTGATTTTAGCAATAAACCATTTTTGATTGATTGATTGATTGATTGATTGATTGATTGATTGATTGATTGATTGATTGTTAACCTCTCAATCCCTTGCCTGCTAGCCTAACCACTCGGCCATTTGACACCAAACATTATTGTACTACCCAAAAAGGGTGCAGAATGGCCTGCTAATGGCTTAGTAGTGTACTTGGTGGCAGCGAGTTCCTCTCAACAATAGTTCAAAGAAAAAACAAGTTTTTGAACACCTCAAAGTCAAACTCTTGTACATTAAGCATGACTTTTTTCTTGTTCTTTTCTGAGCTGGTATTTATTGGTACTTAGTAGTACCAGTTAATTAGTCATTTTGTACACCATGCATAATATGGACCACACCACAAATATTTTCAGAAGGAAGTGACGTACATGTAACACTTGAGTGGTCGGTAAGAAGTCACCAGGACGTAGAGCCGCAGGTCAAACTTCTTCCCACCAATCAGAAGCGGGTTGTCGATGTAGCGGGAGATGACGTACGCGTCCTTACCCGAGGGAGCGGCAAACCTGCGGGAAGGAAACAGGTAGGAGTCTGGGAATGGACATAACGGAAGTAGATATACAGGTATGTATAATTATATAGATGCTAGTTATGGTCTGGAAGTCATCATTTTCAATGTGAGGCCACACCAATTTAATTTCTTGTTTCTCGGATCGCCCTGTCTATTTTTTTCTGATTTGCAAAAAAAAAAAAATTTTTGGTTCTAAATTAACTGCAAAATGCTCAATGAAAGACGTATGTTGGCCTAAAACACTTGAAGAAAGTCCTTTCCTTCCTAGTTCTTTAAAGTTTTTCAATGTAACAATGCAATTTTGTTTCATTAAAAGTTCAAAATCTATTGTAATTATAAACCAGCCTGGTATGTTCACTTCATGGCTCATACTGTAACATTTCTGGCTATCATGGGGTGCCTTGGCCTGTTTTTTTTTTTTTCTTGCCCTGTCGCTTCATATTTTTTCAGAAAAAATCCAAGAAACAACAAATTAAATTGGTGTGGCCTAATGTTAAGAAGTTTCTTGGTATACATATAACTCCTTTAGGTTTATCTAAAAAAAGTACAGACAAGTAGAAAAAGATATCTTTCTATCTTATACTATGTCTGGACAAAGTCCTGTGTGGGACATCACAATGGGTGAGTGATCATGTCTGAAGGTTTTGAGACTTACGAGTTAGTTTTGCTGTCTCTGGACCACTTCTTCAGTTGGGACAACTTGTTGATCAGGAAAATTCCTATTCCTCTTGCTGCAATCAAGTACAAAGTTGTAGTGAATACCCAATGTAGGGTCCAAGGAAGAAATGATTTAACGAGTGGCATTGGTGGTCTTGTAGTTAAGGTTGTCAACATATACTAATCTAATGGTTCTGGGTTCGAATCCCATTTTAGGCAGAAGCCAGTATTGTGCCCTTCAAGCGGAAAGGTATTTTACAGTCTTTTTTCCTCAAACGACAAAAGATCGTGAAAATGAGTTCAGTTAGGGACATCTTCTATATATAAGATTATTGGAAAGTGTTGTGAAAGGAGGGGAGGATGGAAAAGGATACTCTCCAAGCAGAGGTTTGGGTTTGGGGTTATTTTTGGCGTGTTTTTAACCTTTTTTATCGGGGTTTCTCTTTTGCGCTGGAATTTTTTTCTCACCCAACCCAACCTCTGCCAGCACTCACCCTGGGGCGGGGCAAACCTATTCAAGAAAGGTGACAGTGCTCCTCCCCGGGAACCATCAAATTATGATTAGGGATATCCATTTTACTGTGGTGGATTATCACACATCTAGACAGTCAGGAAGGCATTCATTCAGCCACACGCCTCCTGCTGACTAATTCATGCATCTGGTTCACACCTCCTTGCAGAATGACTGAAATGTGTTGAAGTGATTAGGTTTATAGCACATTGAAGCTTTGGACTGCCGGCAGAGGTTGGGTTGGGTGAGAAAAAAATTCCAGTACAAAAGAGAAACCCTGATAAAAAAGCTTAAAAACACGCCAAAAATAACCCCAAACCCAAACCTCTGCTTGGAGAGTAGGAAAAGGACATAAATTAGATCTTTAAAAAGATCTGCAAGGAGAATATTTGAGTCTTGTGTTTCCTGACCTTTCCCTGTAGGTTTCATGATCCAGGTGCTGTTTGGGTTCTTCCTGAACTCCTCCACAAACAGGTTATAGTCAGCAGGCAGCAGGAACGTCACAGGGATGAAATCTGGGAACAGCACAGGATGTTGTGTTACTGTTAATGGCTCTTTTCTGTTCTGTACGCATGAAAATCTTGCCATGGAAGCACAATTCATCTTGAAGAAAAATCCTTCTTTTCCAGCACTACCCTGTATCTGTATTGGTATATAGCCGGTATAACCACCCTTTGGCGTATAAAGTTAAAAAAAAACTAGTAACCTTCAAACAAGTCACTCATGGACACTACAGTACTCTGTGTCTTCTTTTAAAGAAGAAATGCTAAAGAGCACTGCACAATGTTTCATCTCAGAAAGATTGTTTCTTTGAAAGATTGTTTTTAGAAAGTCAGAACAGGTTTACCCTAGGAGAGTGACAGGTTTTAAGCAATATAATTTATTTTGATACAGCCACTAACACCTGCCATTGACATTTTCTAATTAATATGTAATTCTTCTACTCTATCAATACACAACCTTAGCCTTTACCAGGCATTAGAAGAGGCTGGAAAGAGTAGTTGGTCAAAGAAGATAACATTGTCAGGAAAGCTGGTCTGCTTATAAAGGAGTTTGGTTGTCTTTAGTGAACAAAGTCCCCTGGCATGTTATCTGTCTATTTAGACAATTTCTACTCATTCCAGACACTTCTGAAGCCTGGTCTAGGCTAACCAAACCTATACCTAACCTACATGTATGCATTTGTATTTCTTTAGAAATTGGCCCAAAAGATAACGTGTCAGAAAAGTTGGTCTGCTAAAAGAGTTTCGTGTTTGGTTGTCTTCAGTGGACCAACTCCCCTGGCGTGTAATCTGTCCATTTCAGAATGCCAATTTCTAGTCTTTCCAACCGATTCTGAAGCCTGGTAGAGGCTCACCAAACCTATACCTAACCTAAGTACTTGTATCTCCCTTCATCGTCCCTCTCTGACACAGGGTTGCCCTCCTTCTCCAGGTCCTTACGGTACCGTTTGAGGTTCTTCACCATCAGGTCCTTCCTGGTTAACTCATAGTGGTTTGGGAAGTGGTTGATGACTCTGTAGTGAAATTGACATTAAGAACAGCTATTGTTTTTAGCTCCATGAAAAATAGAGATGTCTTTTTATTATGTGTGTGTATATATGTGGTGTGTGTGTTTATGTGTGTGTGTGTGTGTGTGTATGTGTGTGTGTGTGTCTCTGTGTGTGTGTGTGTCTTTGTGTGTGTGTGTGTGTGTGTGTGTGTGTGTGTGTGTGTGTCTTTGTGTGTGTGTGTGTGTGTGTGTGTGTGTGTGTGTGTGTGTGTGTACATGTGTGTGTGTGTACATGTATGTGTGTGTGTGTGTGCGTGTGTGTGTGTGTTTATGTGTATGTCTGTGTTTGTGTGTGTCTGTGTTTCCACATGGCCCATACATGTAGGTTAGGTTGTAATGGATTATAGTTGGATTCAGTCTGTCCCAGACTGAGAAAGTCATCAATCACTTCTATATACATCTAGTTTTGCCCACTGTTACAGGTGTTTTTTTTATTGTAAAATCAAGGAGATTGCAAACTGGTTACGTTGCATCAGTAGTGGAGGCCTTTTTTATGAGATTTTCAACCTATTCTAAAATGTTGTGACTTACACATGGTTTCATGGAGGTCTGATATGAATTCTTGCTATGGATAGTCTTTTCAAACATTATCTGACCAGTGTTTACAAAAGAAGATCCTAAATGCAACAGCAATTTGCAAATAACCTCTTGATAAAATAGGAATTTTCCTTGATAATGGTAAAATATCTGGAAAGTGTGACTTACTGGTCATCCTGAAGCCTGTAGCCATTCTCAATGCTGAAGATATTTCTGGTGGTCTGAACACTGCTCCTGGAAACAAACAACTCATTTCATTTCATTTATTTCAAAACCTTTTAGCCCTGCGCTGGGCTAATCTTCCAAGGTTCAAAGTCAAACACATACATTTAAAATGACATAATACAAATGTAACGTTACATGGTACAGGAAAAATACAGTAAACTCATCTAAAAACATATTGCAATGTCAACAATGAACACACAAATCAACATTACAAATTAAAAAGCAGAGGTTGGGGATTTTGTAACATGTGGTAATGTTTAAGCAGCTTACTTAACATAAAGAATAACACGCATGCGTAGCGTCAGACGAGTAAGAAGAGACACTATCCAGACAGAGAGTCTGAGTTGGTGACTAGAGAATAAACCAAGCCGATTCAAGTATTCCAGCTTGGAGTCACGTTATTGGATTACTACCAAGAGGTAGGGGCACGACAACAGCGTCTACGAGAAAAGACAAAAGTCGTCGCAGATTTAGCTGACACTGTTTTAATAATATCTTTCTTAAAGCTTGGTAGGTCACTAAGGCCACACCAATTTAATTTCTTGGTTAACAGATTTGCCTGCTTTATTTGTTTCTGATTTGCAAATAAAAATAAAAATTCAGAATCAACTGCAAAATGCTCATATTTTGCCCTTAACAGTTGAAAACAGTTCTTTTCTTCCTAGTTGTTACAGTTATTCCATCTTTCAATGCAGTGGTATCATTAAAAGTACAAAATTCATTGTTACTCCGTGAAGGAGGTCAGGACCTCCGGACGGAGTGTTGTGATCGGCTGATTTTTCATGTTCGCAGTCAAAACACTGGGTTCTCTTTGTGTAATCGGCACGCAATTTTATACGCCGTCTGCGGGCATGCCCGTGTTGATGCACGAATGTGTATTTTTGCCGTTGCTGCTTTCGCGGTCAATGTAATATTGCAGACGCACCCCTACAATTACGAGGCGAATTGGAATGGTCCAGAAAAAACGCGTTGTTTGGAATAGCAGTGGGGGGGGTGGAACTTCATGCAGATACGGGGTGGTTTTGATAAGTGGTTCCAGATGTTTTTGCCCATGCTTAAGAGATGCCAAGTTTTTTGGAAGATGTTCGCAGCCAAAACGCATTCTTCCGTACGTCGCATTTCTGTGTAATTTCGCATGTGGTGTGGCATTATGTCCGGGATGATGCACGTCTTTTTATTTTTACCCTAGCTGTTTTGATATTGAAGTAAATGCATATTTTAGAAACATCCCTACTTTTACAATCCTATGGAATAGGCCGTAGGTTTAGGCAGTTGTCTGGTAGCAGAGGTACTATAATTATAAGCAGATATCCTGGTTATCTGGCCGGCGGTAGTAACACTCGCGGTGCTTACCGCAACTGTTGCTGGAATTTGGCCAGGTTCCAGGCGCGCTTAATTAGGTACAGGCACGGTAAGACGGTGGGACTGTCTTTGTTACTAGACATGACCATGATAGTCTGATCTTTATGTGAATGCAATGATTGTGTGTGTGTAATTAAAATGAACTTCCAACTTGAAGCACAGTATCTTTACACGCC